ATAGTAAACAATCTTTTGGCTGCAGTGGGGAAGGAAGTGGGAAGGGATAAATTTGGGAGTTTGAGATTTGCAAATGAGATCGCTCATATGTCGAATCTAAAAAACAAAAACAAAAACAAACAAACAAACAAAAACAAAGCATAAATACAGGGCAGAAATAGACTCATGGACAGAGAATACAGACTTGTGGTTACCAGGGGGGTGGAGGGTGGGAAGGGATAGACTGGGATTTCAAAATTGTAGAATAGATAAACAAGATTACACTGTATAGCACAGGGAAATATACACAAAATGTTATGATAAATCACAGAGAAAAAAATGTGACAATGAGTGTGTATATGTCCATGAATGACTGAGAAATTGTGCTGAACACTGGAATTTGACACAACATTGTAAAATGATTATAAATCAATAAAAAATGTTAAAAAAAAGATTTGCAAATGATAACCACTATATATAAAAATGGGAAAAAATCACATTTCTTCTGTATAGCACAGGGAAATATATTTCAGTATCTTGTAATAACCTTTAATGAAAAAATATGAAAATGCATGACTGGGACATTATACTGTACACCAGAAATTGACACATTGTAACTGACTATACTTCAATTAAAAAAAAAAAAGCTTTTGTTATTTTTTTCATTTGTTATTTCAAAGCTTTTGCTACTGTTTTTTCTTGTGTTAGCTCCCCCATCTCTCCATATTTCAATTACTATGTATGAGGGAGGTGAAGATTCTTCATTACCATATTTAGCAGAGATTTTTTTAAATACATTTTCCTATTCATTGTTTCACATAAGTCTTCAGGCTGTTTTGACATCCTTTCCTTCAGAATGATTGCTGAAATCAGCAACACTTTCATTTTATAAAAACCAAAGAAAAATCTAGCTTATTAAAGGGCCGATTCTGAGACTCACAGAGGTGTTAAGTAAGAGGAAATACCACTAAGCCACAAAAATGGAGAAGGGAGGGCTCATCCTGACAATACGAGAAACGATCATTTTCACGTACAGTTAATAGCAAGAGTCCTTTCTATCACCAGGCTGGCAAGGTAGTAGATCATTTGACGGAGATGCTAGATCCTGCATGCAGATCAACCAGTCTCAACAAAGATGCAGGTACTATGAATGTAGCAAACAAACAGCATGGCTTTCATTTAAGTTTAGCACAGAAGTAGCTGAACTAGAGCCAAAGGGGTTATTCATGTCGGGGCATATATCTTCTAAGTAATCCCTGAAAAGTGATGACTAAGCACCTGCTTGGTGCTTTGGTGTCTCACAAAACTTGGGAAATAACCCCGGAGGTAACTCTCCAGCTTCATTACCATCCAATTACCAAGATGTAAACAGCCTGTCCGCTCAGTGAGATGGTGACTTGGAGCGAAATTTAGTTTGATGTAAGGCACTGAAGAACTGGAAATGTCCTGCACTTCTGAATATGCAGGTACATATTTAAACCTGCTGCATGTTTATTCTCTATTTAATCTGTCTAGTTCCTGAGCCCTAAAATCTAGTTTTTGCACTCAGTATAAATAGCTTTCACTTTATAAGTTCCTTCTTTCTTTTCTTTTACTCAATCCTCAATACTTGTACAGTGCACAAATTATCCAAAAAACAAAAACCCCAGAAAATGTTGATCTCCCAGAATGAATTTAGTATTAAACATGAATTTCAAAGAAGTTGTTCAGCCCTCATAATGTATTCAACTAAGGAACATAAAAAAAAAACAGATAACATCTCAGGGAAGGTCAAGCAAAAATTTCTTTAATTAGCAATGAAATGAAAATAGTTTACATCTGTCTCTGTTGTAATCTAAATAGATAAAGATTCCAATTATTTTCCGTACAAAGAAGCTTCACTGACAACTAATTTCTCTCAATTTCTGACTCTGATCTTCTCAAAGGAGAAATAAAAGATCCAGACTGACCAACGAATTTAAAACCGGATAGAATCCCCTTTTTTTCCTAGCTCACAGCTGTAGAAATAAAATCATAAGAGACCAATATGCAGAAAGAATAAAAGAAAATAAAATATTTTAAAAATACAAAATAATTAAAAATGAATTATATCACACAATAAGCTACTACTATTTCAATGGTGTTTGTAATTTTGAATTATATGTCTATATATAATACAGACAATAGTATACATACTATATAATATTAAGTAACTCATATATGTATGTGTTATATAATTTACATGTACAATGTGTAAATTCATACGATTGGTTGATATGTAAGGCAGAAATTAATACTGGTTTATGAGTGGCTAAAATGCATTCTTAAAACTTTTGGTTTAGGGGTGAGGGTATAGTTCAGTGGTAGAGTGTGTGCTTAGCATGCATGAGGCCCTGGGTTCAATTCTTAGTACCTTCATTAAAAAAAAATAAATACATAATAATAATAATAATAATTAAAAAAACCTAACCCCCCAAAAAATCTTTCAGTTTAGATATTTTCACATTATCGTCTAATATTTGATCCTGTTGTCCCCAACTCTCTTTGATCGAACCTTAGACAGAATTATTAAACTGTCAAGAAACGAGGAATAAAGTATTTATGCATTCTAATACGAACTGCAACAATATTTTTGACTGTTGCATACACTGCTCCCTGCCTCACCCTATTTTGAATATAAGGAGCCCTGTTGAAATACCTTTAAAAGATTATCCTGTTAGATTTAGAATTTGGATCTTACCTACTCTGAACTTGCTATTTAATACCTCCAACATTACCAAATTATTTTCTAAGGTTTTGGTTTTTTTTTTTTTTTAGTACATTTTAAAATTGCCGGAGACTCGTGAAGAACCTCAGGGTATCAGCAATTGTTTTAGACGAGCAGGAGAGGTAGATATTCGTTCTGCTGTTAAGTATTATCAATCTACTATTAATCATTTTCCTAGTAAGTGTAGTTTATCTTGACTCCATTCATGGCCCATAAATGATCTTTTAAAATATTATGAACATTTGCTAACTATTTCAGATCCATGCATTCATTCTAGGCATTGAATGACTCCGTGGTTCATATTTAACATCTCCAGTACAGGTCTTATTGAATACTTAGTGAAACTAAATCTCGAACAGATTTACATCACAGATAATCTTCCTCTATTATAGATAAAGTGAATCTGAATTATAAGGACCAAACAGTCCATTTCAAATCCGAATTTTATTATAATTTTTATTTCTGGTGAAGTTAACTGAAAAAGGCATTTTTCCCCCCTTGGTAGAAGAAATCACAAAACCTAATTGGTGTCTCCAAAAGTTTTGTTTAACATCATGCTTCATGATTTCCATAAAACCTTCATTCTGAACAACTGAAAAAGTTCTTACCTTCCTTCTTTTTCTCAGTTTCCACCTTCTTTGCATCTTTGGCAGCTAACTGGTTGCTTACTGCTGTATTTGTCATTTCTCTTCAAAGTTTTAACATTAGTGTGAAAAACGTTGTTTTTACAACACAGCTCCAAACTAGAGTTACACGACTTTGAAGTAAAAGACGATTGTAAAGAGATTTTTCAAAAGGAAAGTAGCCTTGTGACGAAGACTGAGTCACACTTGCTTCCTGTGAAATAAGAATAAAACAAAACAAAACATTTACTGGAAAAGAGAAATGTTCACTAACAACTGAAGAACAAAAAACTGATATGTTCTTACTTTTTCAAAGATCCTCATCTGAACCTAGAGCAAAAAATACATTCAAGTGGCTATTTTTTTTTAATGTTCCCAAGAGTGAAACATAACAAATGTCCTCCCAGAGCCACAAGAGATAAGAATACTAATTAATTACAAAGCATGCTTTAGGACGTTAAGGTTTAATTACCAAGTGTTAAGAAAGACCATCGCAAAGGTGATGGCATTAAAGAAAAAAGCTACACTTTAAAGTGGCTACTGAAACCAGAATAAAAAGCATTTTCTCTCTATCTTAAACACAAACATGTGCACCAGTGTGGGCATGCACACGGACAGACACACACACACATACACACACACGGAAGGAAAAAAAAGAGAGAAAAAGGGACAGAAAGTTAAAAAGTACTCAGAATGTTATCATCAATATTTAGGATAATAATGTTATTATGCTAATGTCATCAGGCCACTATTTCCTTTTCAAATCTGTCTTCATCAGAATTTTCAATCCTTGGTATCCATGGGGAATTCCAAAATCCTGGGGTGCTCAAGTTCATTACAATCCACTGTCCGGCCCCTGGTACCCTGGGTTCCCCATCCACGGATTCCATCCACAGTTGGTTGACACCCCGGTGCAGAACCTGCGGACATGGGGGTGGGGTGAATGTACTTACACTAAGAGGAAAACTGAAGAGAAGCAGCTGGTGTCACACAGGCTGCCTCAGAATTAACACTACATATGTTCTGACCGGGACACTGAAAGGAAAAGGAAATGAGAACAGAGAGGAAAGTGGGTAGTGAAAGAGCGATGAATTTGCATGAAGGAAAAAGGCAATCAGATAGGATGGAGGAATATCAGAGGAGTGTGGTGTCCCAAAACTGAAGAGAGGATTATTTCATGAAGGGAATTGTAAGAGAAAAAAGTGTGATGATTACGTGTTTCCTGTAAGACAAGGACTGAAACATAACACTGCAGTTAGCATTTGGAAGCAGTGGATGATTTCAAAGAGTTATTTTTCACTAAAATATCACCAATGGTTAGTGTGGTCTAAGAAGCCCGGAGAATAAAGTTTTCCTACATTATAATAGGGGCTCAGAAATAAGCGTGACATCACCTGCCTAGTTTGTACAGAGAAAAGCAGAAGGGTAAATCCACAGATCACCTGAGCTTAGACTAGACAAGAAGATTTCAAAATAGAAACTATTATTTTGGCTGCTATTAACCAAAAGGTTTTAATTTCAACTTCTTTTAAACATGATACCCCCAATGTATCATATTTATAATCATAACACATTAATTGAGCATACATCAAGTATACTTAAAACATTGTTTACTAAGAGCTGTTTTTCAGACTTTGGTGTGGTACAGAGCACCTGTATGCATGTTATTTGGTGGCGTTTATAGGGCTTCATAACTAATATTGTATTAGTCAGGTTTCCCCAGAGGAACAGAACCAATAGGATAGCAGATAGATAAATAGATAGATAGATAGATAGATAGATAGATAGATAGATAGATAGATAGCAGGTTTTTTTTTTTTCAAGGAATTGGCTCAGGCAATTTTGTAGGCTGGCAAGTTAAAAATCTGCAAGGTGGCCTAGCAGGTTAGATATACTGGATGGCTGATATTTAATTCTGAGTCCAAATGCCATCTGCAGTAGAACCAGACAATGTTATAGATAAAGTCAGAAGGCACAGTGGACAACTAGAAAATTCTCTCTTGGTTGAGAGAGACCAGTCTTTTTGTTCTATTCAGGCCTTCAACTGATTAGATGAGGCCCACCCACATTATGGGGGGCAATCTGCTTTCCTCAAAGTCCACTGATTCAAATGTTAATCTCATCCAAAACCATATTTGTAGAAACACTCAGAATCATGTTTGACCAAGTTTCTGGGCACCTCGTGGCCCAGCCAAGTTGACACATAAAGTTAACCATCACACTTACTGAAGGAAAATCTGCCAAGAATTTTTCTGAAAAAACATTTTTGAAAAGTTATTGTTTTCAAAATAATTGTTATTGCCACTAATTTGAGACTTACTGACCTGTTTCTTTTCCTGTTTTGCTGTATCTAAACCTTTTTATCTAGATTCTGCTTGCCAGATATATCCCCAAATAGCAAAATGGTTATTTAAATTTTTTAAGTCAAAAATGTTTATTCATATCTAACCAGACACTGATTTTATTTGTTTGTTTGATGGTTATTTGATTTATCTCAGTTTTTTCCTACTAGAATAGAAGAAACATGAAAGTAAGAAGTATGTTTATCTTGTTTACTATTATGTTCCTAATAAACTGTGCACAAGTAAGCACAGTAAATAATTGTTGAAAAGAGTCAAATAAAACAGTCACCTTTACCTTGCAACAAACAGAACTTTAGCCAGAAAATTGCATGTCTTTTTATTTTCATTCACCAACATATCCTGTGTGGTTTCAGATAACCACGTCCAAGTAAATTTTGACTATTTTTGGACTTCCTATCAGTTTTTGGTACATTACACCTAGGAGAAATATCCAAGGCTGAGGCTACTCTCCATTTTAGTTTCAGTATTTTCTAGATATCGTCACAAGAATACATTTGAGGAAATGGAGAATGAAGATGGCTATATGATGCTGAAGAATCACTTCAAATCCAGAAAAAGATCTAAAGGTAGGAATACTGCTCCTCTGCATTCAGACTCCAGTTTAAAATTGCATTATTCTCCTAAGAGAATAACTATCTTTGAAACCTTTAAAGTGTTAAAGTTAACCGTATTCTGGGATTTAAAAGCTGCTCATAAGTTGTCTAAGATCAATTGTTGAGGCTCATGTAAGCATCAGCAATGAAAACTCGATTTTTGCAGCCACAAGAGCCAGAGAAATGCTAATAGGATGATTTATAATCCCCTCAAAGTAGTAGCATATGAGTAAGAGTGTAACTTTCAACTGAAAGGTCGAAAATAGTATTTTTTATATAAATTACTTCTATGAAACATAAGAAGGAGAAGCGACTACTAGGTTATGTTATCTACATACATGTTATCTACATATCTACAAGGTATCTATTTCACTCAGAAGGTAAAGAACTAGGGCTGATGGGGGAAGTAACAAGGGTGCTATGGTGTTTTACAGCTTAAAAATACATATATATATATATATATATACACACACACATACACACACACACACACATACATATTGTATTTTTTAATCTTCACAAAAGATACATGAGATTGGCAGAACAGTCCACTAAGAACGAGAGAAGGGCAAAATAAAAGAAAGCATTTATCTCTGTCATTTGAGGCTGCTGTATCTGCGACAAGGTTGTTTTTAGTTTTGGGTTTTTATTTCAGATCTATAGACAAGTTTAATAAACAATACTGGTGTCTAAATTCAGCCTGTCCAAAATAAATTTTTTAAATAATTCTGTTGAAACAGCCAAGATCTCAGCCGGGATGACATGGGTCAAAAATTTAGACTCGCTGGTCACTACCGCAGCTCTGCCACATACACGATTGCAGGACATTCTCACACACTATCTCAGTTTCCATCTTGCAAATTCAAAAAACATTGTTTTTCAGAAACATGGTATTTTCTCATCATTTGAAGGCTCAGGGTCCCTTTTGCGGTTTCAATGCCAGGAACCAACACTTCCTTTTTTCATTAGTAACTTAACTTTGCTGTAATGAAAACTAAGACCATTGGAATCAAATTGACTGAACTGGACCCTAAACTAGGTGCGTGGCTTTTGGCAATTATTTTTTCTCCTCTTAAACTCAATAAAAAAGCAAATCTATAGTGTGATTGTTTTTAATGTGGACATTAAATTATTAACTATTTGCTCTTTAATGTATAAACCATCTTATAATAGAAAGGGAGTGAAGACATGAAATCTGAGTATAAATACACAGAACACCAGGTAACGTCCATTTGAATTATGAGTGAAAGATGAGTAAGACTGGCAGCATAAATTAAGCCTGCAATTCAGCAAAAATTGCATACCCTGAGTATGTCTGTGTTTGATGTCAATTGGTTTCTAAGCTTCCTTACTATTGATGAGTAAGAGAAACCTGAGCACTTATTTGGCTCACACTGTCAAGATATAAATTTACACCTATTGCTTAGGATGGATATAATTAATCTTGTTGCTAAATCCAGAAAGGAAATCTTCCTATCATAAATCAGATGTGAGTAACATAATTAGTGCTCTTGAGTAGTGATAATAATGGGATTCAAAGAGCAATGTCTTAATACTGAACCACGCGGGCCAACAGCAACTGGCTAGAATGGACCAGGGCAGTGCATTCCAGGTACCTGGCTTGATACATTTTATAACTGCCGCTTGTGCAAGAGAATATTGATTTTTAATTTATAGCTATAATATTATTTGGCCAAGAGTTTAAAATTTCCCTCTCCGGCAGAGATAGAACCAGTTAATTGCAGAGCCATGCGCCTGGGATTTCCATCCTTTCATAAAATTGCAAAAATGTGTTTTGAGGATTTGGGGCTAAGTAGAGGTCTTTCTACTTCTGTTTGAGCAGAAGAAATATCCACAGACAAGAGGGAAAAATAGAAACTTATTCTGGATTTATTCTGTAATGCAGACAACACTGCAACACATTTAAGAAGTTTTACTGCCTACAGCACATCCTATTAGTGTGTACTATAGACATTATCAGTGATACCAAGTCCATCAAAATTAATTGAAGTGAAACATCCACTTATTACCCAATTTGAGAAATAGCATTTTAAAACTATGACTTAGAAGGTAACCAAGGTAGTGGAATTAAGCGTTTCTCTATTTATAAACTAACTAAAATTGGCAGATAATTATCTGAGTATCAAATTACTTGACTTTGTCAGTGGTGTGGTAAGTGGTCTGGCCAGGATGCTTCTAGGTTGCAATACTATCCCTATGCCGTCTGCATATAGAAAGATATCTGCCTTCACCTTTTTTGTGGAAAGAGTGTGTATTCCAACTTATCCAAAAGTGCCAGTGTGTGGCAAAAATAGATAAAATTGAAAGAGGATCATAGCATGCATATCCCTGTTTAATGTAGGTATCGAGTAAACAGAGAATTGCGTGTTACTTCTCTATAAAGAGACTTGCCAGCTCTGAGCCAAGGGAGTAGATGGCACAGTTCTAGATAAGCATCCTTAATCAGAGGTCCATGCTGTTTAGGTTGATGCTGATTCCTGTCCAAAATACCAAAGCCAGGAAAATACAGTATATCATACATAAAAATGAAATAACACGGCAATATTCCCAGTACAGTGACTGGTACATAATAGAACTTCAATAAATGTTCTTTTTCTTCTTTTATTTGTTACAGTGAGTCGTTAAAATAATACCCATGGCAGTACCTGATATATAATATATATTATATTATTCTGTGTATAGAGTATAAATCATGTATTTTATATTTTTATACCCTATTATGTAATAGTTTTAATATACTACTGTACATTGTGTATACTGTATATTAATAAATCATTTTGTCATCAAAAAAAATCATCAAATAATTAGCAAAGCAAGACAATGACATTGTAATCCAACACATTCAATAACAGTTGCATCTCTGTTTTTGGACTGTAAATATTTGTTATTTTCAATTAATCATAAATGTTAGTCATAAATTAGATTATAAATTAATATAAAATAAAGATTAAATAAAGAAAAATAAATTAAATAAAGGAAAAAGTTTATAAATAAACAATCAATTCTAACACTATGTCTAAAATGAACATGGGTTGTTGTCTCTGTAATAAAAGTAAAACAGGAAAATGTTCATAAAGTGAATAATCACAGAGTTCTAAAGTTCCTGAAAAAAATCTCACCATTTCAGATGTCCCTCTGTATCTACAATATCACTGTCTTTTGCTAGTATTTGGATGCATTGGGATCCTCATTATCATCACAGCAGTGATTGGCCTGGACTTTTGGTGTGACTATGGAATTTTTACTTATTTTTGCACTTTCAGAAAAAAAGTTGATCTTTAATTACTTTTAATATCAAGATAAGCTCCACATTAGAGTCCAATATTGGTAAATTAAACTGACCAGTCCATTGTGTCATATTACAAAATTATTTTCATATAGAAGGAAATATTTTAATATAAAATATAAAAATAACATATATTCCACATCTCTTCTTATGAAGAATCACCAGTAAAAGACTGACTTACCATTTTATAAAAAGTAATGATATATTCGTATAAAAAAAAAGTATGTGCTCATTGGTATCACTTTGAGAGAAAATAATTTTAAAGTATCTGCACCTTTTATTTTCTGAAGTGGTATTTAATGTGTGTATTCTATAGTTGTTCTTTTTGAAACAACCAGACTAATTAATGGTTTCTATAATTTTCTTTCTCTTGAAACTATAGTTCCTGAAAATGTAGGGCTCAATCATTCTTTTTGAGAAAGGCACTATTGAGAAGAAACCAGTAAAGTTTAACACATTGAAGAAATACTAGTGGGGCAATATTTTTCCTATTGATATTTTTATTCTAATAATGCTGTGACAATTTTAATATTTGCATTTCAGTTAAGGTTGTGCTTGTACTTTGACTAGTATTTGACCAAATATTTAAAAATATTTTCCATAGTTTTCAGCTCAGAACAAAGTATTGATCAAAAACATTTGCATATGCTCTCTCCCAGGATTTATATTAGAACAGTAAAAACAGTAACGAAAATAGAATAAACTAACAGAAGTGCAGAATGGAAAGAGAAGAAAATTGTAAAGAAAATGAAAAGCGGATGGGATAATGCTATTGGATAAATCAATGGAGAGAACCACAGTTCAGAGAAAATGTAGCAGATGGCTACATCTAGATGAAAGCTATCCCACAGGGCAAAACCCAGGCAGGACCCCATTTTCAGAGATAAGAGTCCAGAGTGTAAAGTGAGGTCTAAAGCAAAGCAATTAACAGAAAGATTGTTCAAGGAATGGCCTTTTAGGCTGGTGTCTTGACAACCTTTTACTCCACTCATACAGTGGCTTTTACCACCATACCACGTCCAAAAAATGTTCTTGAAACAATGAGATATATGACTATGTATATAAAACTAGATGCATGCACTGGGGCTCTCCTCTTTTATGGAGTGTTGGTGCAATGGGGTGTGTGTCCCCTTATTCTGGTTCCGGAGTGGGTGAAGGAAGTAGTGTATTGATCTACTGCATAGCTTGGCTACTTCCTACATCCTTTCTATCTTAAAAAAAAAAAAATGGTAGCTAACCAAATATTCCCGAACATAGAGAAAAGTGTCAGAAAAAAATTTTAAATATAAATAAATATTAGAATATCTGAGACAAAAACAGAAAATACGGTCATACAGGAAGGACAATATTTAACAATTTCTCAGAAAAAGAGAATAGAGGGGAAAGTACATAAGAAATAATAAAAAATAATATTTTTAAAAATTTCAGGAGAAAAAGCAAAAACATGAATTTCCAGCTTGTAAGAATCAGCAAAATTCAGAATATGACACAAAAATAAGTATAAATGGATAGATGACAGATGGATGGATGGATGGATAGATGGATAGATAGATAGATAGATTTATTGTATTTCAGGATACCATGGGTAAAGACATGATCTTAAAAGTTTACATAAAGAATTCATTTTCTCCCAAAGCAAAGACAAACTGGCACCGGATTTTTAAATGTACATGAAAAGACACCACTGTAGCAATGTCTTCAAACTTATGAACAAATTCAATTTTAACTCACATTTTCCACGCATTCTCCTGGAATAAATAAGGGAGTGGGGCTGATTTTTAGTTAGAGTGAAGCTAGCCCAAGAATCTAATGAAAAGGCATTTCAAGTTATCAGCTGTTTTATGTTCCTGGAAAGCAATTAATTCAGTTCATATGAAAACAATCTGAAAATAATGCAAGTAAGAAGCTGAAGGCACTTGATACAGTAAAAAGGAGATTTTGAGTGTGTGTGTGCCTGCAACAAGATGAAATAACATTGATTTGAAAGTTCAGTAGAAAAAGTAATACACAAAAAAGTAATAGGAGTGAAGTTTAAGAATGCACACAATATTTAGAATTGTGATTAACACTTAAAGGAGTAAAAATAGATATGGTAAAAAGAGGTGAATTCTGGGGCAGGAGAGGATAGAAGTATAGCAGAAGAGGGAGACTTTGTTCCCAACAAAAAGAACCAGGCTCTTAAGAGAAATGGCCAATTCCAGGATTGAAGGAAGACAGGTACAAAACACATTTTGAAATGCCTTGTCATGAGGGGAACAAGAAGACGATCACAGATCTAAGATTATGTCAAAAAGATCCAGGAGTCAAGTTAATGGGACTTTGCATGACCATACATGGGACAGATCATGCATCAACAAAGGTGACAGTCCTAAACATTTACACAGCCAGTGACAGAGCTTCCAAGAGCATGAAGGAGGAAAAGGGAGAACTAAAAGGAGAAATAGAAAAACCCATCGTTGTTGGTTATTTTCATACCCTTCTCTCAAGGATAGACAGAGTGAGTAGGCAGAAAAAATCAAAGACATAGAAGACTTGACAACCCTATAGACCAACTTGATGTAACTGACGTTGACAGAACATGCTGACCAACAACAGCATAGTATGTATTCTCTTCAAATGCATCACAATCAAATGAAAGGCAGAAAAACAGAGAAAATCAATAAAGCCGAAAACTAGATATTTTAGAAGATAAATAAAAGTGAAAAACATCTTCTCAGACTTATCAGGAAGAAAAAAGAGAAAAGACACAAATTATCAATATCAGAAATCAGAGGGGATACCACTACAGATCCCAAAGACAAGAAAGGAAGATTATGAATAACTCTATGCCAACGAATTTAATGAAATAGACAAATTTCTTGAAAGACACAAAATA